TATGTATGAGAGGATAGTTATGAATCATGGACAAGTGCTTACACCCCAGCTTTGCCTCCAATACGTGAGAAATTCAAAAGCGACTGCAGCTAATTTAATGTCGTGAAATCGAATTTTCTGATTTTGGCGCGTCTTGCGAGGCAAAAGTTTGCTATCAAGAGTTTCGGCCAATAATCGTGACAGTCTTGTTTGTTTTTGAAAATCGGATACTTGATTGGATAAAAATTATGCACGAACATGATGATCCGAGTAATCAAGTGGCGCGGAGTTGCAAGTACCTGTCCTCCTTGAGCAAGCGAGGGTTCCGACCTCCTGTGTAAACGCAAAAGAAAAGATTGCCATCATGCTAGCGCGCTGTATGTGACGAGCGGCCATGCACCTGCCTTGCGAAGAATGGTGCGATCTCTTTTTGATGGCTGCAACCAGCACCTCGGACCTCACGACGTCGTCGTAGTTCGTGCTCAAGTCCGCGCGGATGCCAAACCTCACATTGCAGCACCAGGCGGCATGGGACAGCGCGTAGCACACCCAACTTGATCATATCGATGCTGAATTATGTAGAGGTCCTCGCGGGCGTCTTCCCGCCGAAAGAGTTTATCGCCGGTGCGACCGCCGTCATCCCAGCCATGCCTCGCCATGAGCGAAACAAGGGCCCAAACTTAGACTGCTCCGCCTGGAGCCCTGCCGTGGAGTGGCTGAGGGTGCCGGTGACAAACAGTAAGGCTGCGAGTCGGCCATCCCGTTGTAGGACCCCTGTCTAGTGCTAAGAACACCGTAACAGCACGTTGTGGTGCGTCGCCGACCGCATTCTCTCGCATGGCCGACGGTCGGCACTTCAACTGGCACACCAGCTGCACCACGCGAGTTATACGAGCCTGTGCGCACCACCCACTCCAGGGGCTACCCACGCTCACTAGTCAGCGATGACGCCTCTCGTTTGGATCTTCATCCGATCCAAAGTTCCACGAGTGACGGACCTGTTGAACAGTTGACGTGTCCTCTTGATAAAGAAGCCGAAGCCTCGGCGAGTGGTGGAGGGAAGGGTGTGCTGACGGCATCTGACCAAACGCCAGGAGGACGAATGTCCGAATGGATGAATCCAGGTTGCGGACGCTGATTCGTGGCTCGAAGGCGCGCCAAGGCTGCGACAGCACACACTTGCGCTTGACGCTCCCCATCAAAAGAGCTCCATCTGCGTTCGGATTCCAGGCCGAGTTGTGGACGGCATTCCTTGGGCGACTCCATCACGTTTGGGAACTCAATGCTCGAGGCGGCCGACGCAGTGCCTCGCTCGACAGATAGCAGAAAATCAAGTTGCGCGTCATGCACATCACTGCACGCTCGCAACGCCAAGACCGCGCAATCCGCGGATTTGATGGCATCTTCCAGGCTGCCTACAGTCGCGGCCATGGTTCGTTTGTTTGGCTGGCACGACGGGGTGCATGACCTCTTCAAACTCTCGACGAGTTGAAAGTGATCGATAACGTTGAAGGTGGCAGCAATGGGTCCATGTCCAATTGAGCAGTTCCCTGTGCACGGAAATGAAACCCCGGTCATACCCTTGGATGAAGGACCTGGTCGGTGTGACTTTGAAAGACATGACTTCAGCAACACCTCGCCGCTTCCATGCGAGATGTGTCAAGGCGCACCGACCATGGCCTGGATGCCGCCATTGCGGCGCCGTGGAATTACGCGGATGATGAAACTGTGGTGGAAACTAGCCATTATTTTAGAGTTATTTAATAAATACCTAATGTTTGTATACGGTTTGACGAAATCGATTAAAATGCAGCCCAAGCAACCATTTTCAAACACTTCATATGCGGTGGTACTGCGTGTCGCCGGCGCTGCCCAAGGGCGCCCAGTTGCGCGTGCGAACGTCGCCGAGCGCATCCTCCCCGGAGAGCACAGGCTATAGACTCAACATCCATGACGTGGTGACCGCGGCATCGCCTCCATTGAAAGCTCCGTGGCTGCACGTCTCCTGGCAGCACTCGGACGGGTACGTGATGGCATCGACGCCCGACGACATGCCGCTGCTCGTTCCGTGGGAATCGACAACGCTTGCCAAAGTTGTGTTTGTATACCCCGAAACGCAGCTGCGCCACCAGTCCACGAACGAGACAGTGTTGCTCGAGCACGACGCTTACCTCGGGGTCCTGACAGAGCTTGTATCGGGTGACGACGACGACGACGTGTCGTATGTCGTGATGTACCAAGGCGAGCCGTACATTGTCGAGCAAGAGGACGTCGTTGTGATGGCGGAGCGCATCCACGCGTCCATGCAATTCTCCCTAAACCCAGACCTCCCCGACAACGCGACCGTGGTTGTGCGGCAGTGGCCTCAACGCGATAGCGACCAAGTGGACGTGCTCACTCATGGGCAAGCAATCGCCGGCGAGATCCGGTCGGAAGACTGGATCAAGATACATGAACACGCATGGGTGATGTGGAAGATGGCGAGCCACAACAACTTGGAGCTGCTGCAACCCGTGCGGCAACGCAGCGACCAAGATAGCGATGCAGAAGCGCCCGTTGACGTCGCCACCGGCGACGCGCTAGCAACGGGAGACCGTGCACCCGAGAGCCTCGCAATGCCAAATCGTGGAGGCTCCACCGAGTCCAGGCAGTGCTCTTTGCTCAGCGACAACCGTGCGGCGCCACCGCCAGACGACGACAGACCGATTCGCCAAGCCAAACCAAACACACTACCCAACCTTGTCGACGCCGACCCACCCATTTCGACCGTCGCCACTGTGCCACGTCATGCAATCGAGCGGCGGCCAGCCCTTCCTACCCCGTCGAGTGCGGTGCACGAAGAAGATCGACCGATCCATCCTGTACAGAGTTCCATGGAGCTAGATCGACGATGCATTCACCCAGCAGCCTCGGACGCGGTCCACGATTGCGACCGACCGATTCCTTCAATGATCAAGTCTGCGATCGATCATCACGTACTTGGTCCTGCTGCGCTGAACGGGGCGCATTCGAGCGCACAAGACCGACCGAATCGATCGGGACCATCCCAGCATTGTTTGAACGAGTTACACGTAGACGAAGGCGAGGGTTTCGCGGGCGGCCGCCGCGACGCCTCTGACGACCGTCCGATGCACCGCACAACGCCACGGGCTTGGCATGACCGCCCGAGTCCGCCTCGCAACGATTATCCTGTCCGCACGGCAGTGGCGAGGACATTCCACGACGAGATGCCGCTTCCGCCGGCCGTAGACGAACGGCGTCTCCATGTAGCCGTGTCGCCGGCAATGGAAATGCCCGTTCGTGCTACTGTGACTGCAGACCGACCTCGTCATCCTGCACAGCCGTCCGACGCCGCAGCTTCCTCCGTTCTGGACGAACCTGTCCACTTGGCATGGCCGCATGCCGTTGGAGAGGACCAATCGATCCAGGCAGCGATACCGACAAACTCCGCTGCCGACCAACCGATCCATCCAGCGACCACCGCAGCAACGAATGGCCATGCAACCGCTGCCAACTGTCGCTCGATGCCTTGCGACGGTCCACTTGCCGGGCCCATGGCGATCCACAGTCGTGATGACCCACCGATGCCAACATTTTTCGATCACGACTCGCTTGCCGACCGGCCGACGCGACCGATTCGTTTCGACAATGTCAGCGACAACGTATCTGTCCTCGCAGCGTCGACCACCGACGGCGATGCATTCAAAGTCGCCGCTGCTCTGTCCAACAACAATGACCCGCCCGTCATGCCTCACGATGCGCTGTCTGTGCTTGGTGACGATGCTCCCATCGACCTGTCCAAGCTCCAGCAGCTTGCGCGGGACCTCTCGGACGTCCACGTAATGTGGCCACTCCAAATCGAGCTCTTGGACGCGCTGCACCCGCTCGTCTTGGACGGGATATCGTCGCAGGTGTCGGCTTCTCTGACTACCGACGACCATGCCGCCGTTTGCGCCATGCTCGAAGCGAAATTGCAAGCGTCTCTGCACGCCAAAGTTGTGCCTGTGTTTTTGCAGTTGGCTGTGCCGTACCTGTCGTCCACCGCCCAGCGACCGCCGACGAGTTTGCTGCCTGGCCTCCTCCGCCTCTTTCAGGTGTGTGTGTGCTGAGTGCTTGCCTGGTTGCCGACGCCATGACGATGTATGTGGGTAGGTCAAGGCGGCGCAGGCGAGGCTCGAGCCGTTCTTGGCTGGTTTTCTTGGTCGCTTTCCGATGGACGAGGTGTGGACTGCATTCGAGCAAGTGCTGGTCGTAAACTCCGACGACGAACGCGTTGCGCCACTGACTGAAATGGGCGCTGCACGGCTCTTAGTGTGGTGGAGCGTCACGATGTGCCCGATCCCCGCCCCGCCGTCCACCGACGATTGGACTTACCCGAGTCTGCGGCTTTGCGACGCGTTAGCGCCGTACGCCTCGCATCGCGCGACAAAAGTTCGTGTGGCTGCTGTGGACATTTTGGCGTTCTTGGTGCACCACCACTCGACCGGCCGCGATGCCGCCCCGCCGTCCCATTTGGATCAATGGCTCAGTTTGCAATCGGACCCTGCAGTCCAAGAGGCAGTGCGACGTCGCATGCAGTCCACGGACTCTCGTCCGATGAACGAAGGCCAGCCACCATCGGTGGTGGCCGCGCCAGTCGTGGGCTCGGACAAGTCTCTTGAGGAGCCGCGTTGTTTGTCGAGCGGGAACCCGCCAAGCTCGACGGACGATAGCGACAAGGGCAATGGTGTGGCAACGCTTCTCAAGCGGTCCAGCACGACGCCGCAACGCAAAGCCAAGGAGCGGTTTGCCCAGTGGAAACAAGACCGCCTCGACAACGAGGCGCCGCACGACCCCACGTTTGACGAGTCTATCGTGGTTGGGGACCGATTCAATGGCGGGGGGCACGTTGTTTCGTTCGCCCAGTGGAAGCACCATGACGACGGATGCGGCCCCGCGGCCGAGCAAGCGTTGCAAGCCAAATGCACCCCCCGCGACAAAGCCAAAAGCAAGTTTGCCCAGTGGAAATGTCAGCAACAGCAGCAGGGTACGTCCACCGCCGCATGCCCCACGAGCGACGTGGCAGGAACGCCACCGAAACACGACGATGGCGCTGAGCTTCCACGTGCTCGAGAGGCGGCCTCGCTGGATACGCCAGCGACGATCGACGCGCAGCCAACTCGTCAGCACAGCCAAGAACCTGCGACCGATTTTCGCCACGATCGCGACCGCACCATCGAAGCGGAGCCGTCCGCGCGCCATGACTTGCGTGAATCGTGCACGGAGCGCGCTGTTGCGACGAGCGATTCCTCCGACTTGGGAGATTGCGACTTGGCAGCCGTCGACGCCGCCGCCGACGACTTTCTGGAGCATTCCCATGACATCGTGGCTCGGGTAGATCGAGTTGTTGTGCCGGTCGCTCCATCACCGATCGACGGCGTCAACAAGTCCAAATGCGCACAGTCGCGGCGCGACAACTCGGTCGAGGTGGGCGACGAGGCGAGTCCGATGGCCCGCACGGTCGATCTGGTCCTTCCCGGGGAGCCAGCCGACGTCGAGTCGCCCCGCCACGTCGACGACCCCGATGGCGCTCTTATTGACGGCGACGTAATACCACGTCGTCATGCGATCGATGGACGTAACGAAGTCGCCGACGACGATGATATTGGAAGCGACAGCGTCGAGGAAGTCGATGAAAACGATGCGTACCTGACGTCGACGTCGCCGCGCTGTCGCATGGACGGCCCAGTGCACACTGCCGACCCTCGTGAGGATGATGTGGAAGCGGTGGATGCACCATCACGCGCCGAGGACGCTTGCGACGTGGCCCGCGCCATGTACTTTAGCGACGTGAGCGACGATGATGACGACGACATTGCGTTGTTGGGCCACCACAGCGATGACCAACTCGATGCCGTCGACGAGTACGCGATTCTCCATCAAGAACTACTCGACACACACGTCCAGCTGCATGACGCGGGGCGGGACGGCGCCGTGAGCGACGAATTCCACGAGGAGTTTCCCGACGTGGACTTGTGGTGCGTCGATCACTTGTTCATGCCCGACCGAAACGTCGACGCGGAGCTCGCTCGATTACAGCGCACGTGGAGCGGCGACGCGCGGGGGTACTGGGACGCTGTGTTGGAGAGTTCGCCGGCGATTGTGCTGGCCGCCACCTTCCCGAACGATCGACACGACCAAGTGGTGTCGTGGCTTGCAAACGAATCGATGCCAGAAGAAGAGCTGACGACTACAGACAAGGACGCGATTGCCGAGTACAGGGCGCGGTGGGAGGCGGCGAGGCAAGCCGTGCTCAAGGACGTGATGCCGCCAGCCCACGCCGTGCTTCGTCAAATCCCGACTCCCATCGCATCCTCTCCGTCGGACGCGAAAAAGATCAACACGCCGACGCGACTGCTCCAACGGTCGGTGAGTTCGCGCACGCTGCAGCGGCCATCGTCGCTGGCATCGATGACGTCGCCAGGCCTGGCCACCTCGTCTTCGTTACGCGCACCGTCGAGCATGCCGTCCAAGGTTGTCCCGCGGACTACGTCGGCCATGGCGCCTTCGACGCCAATTTCGGGCATTCCGGCGACCTCGTCGACGCCAACGAGGCACAGCTCGATGATGCGCCCTCCCACCGTGCGAACTCCGCTTGGTCCCTCGCGGCTGCACACGCCGTCATCGCGGCCGCTTTCCATCCCCCGCGAATCCATTCACTAACTTATATACACATCCCCAACCGATATTCGTATTGGCCCGCCACTTGAGCTGCACCAGGGCATCGTATGTTTCAACGTCGCTTGGATGGGTGGTCGCGAAAGCATCTCCGTCGAACGAACAGAGCCATTCGATTGCTTGGTAGGCGCCATCGCCTCGCCGTCGTGATGGCAGAGCGCCGTCGGCTTTTTCGTTTCGGACGAACCAAGTCGGCACGTCCCGCCGTGTGGGTTGGCAGCCTTCCGATCGTGGGGTCGGGGCAATGCCATCTCGGGATGGACCCTTGTTTGAATCCGCTCCATGGGTTGCTCTGTCACCCTTTGTCGCTGGTCGACATGGCGCGGGGGCGCCGTTGGTTAAGCGGCCATGCCTTGCTCAGGCGTACCCAAGACGGTGATGCCAAAGTCCGAGATGCCCACTCTAGAAGCACCTGCAGGATGCATGGCGCTTTCCCCGACGAGGGCGCTAGGGGGATCGAGGTGCCCGATGGCCGCTCTGGCCGAATGTACGCGAAGCTCTCGACAAGCGAGCGACCTCGGCACTCGATTTGTGAGCAGGGCATGCTCCATACAGAGGTCGCGGCCTCGATCGCCCACACGTCACATGGACGACTTGAGCGTCCGCGTTGGTGCCGTTCTTGAAGCGACCGTCGCTCCCGTCGACGTGCAGCCTGGCAGCCGGCTCCAATCCCATCCCGCCACGTCGACGTGGTGTGTGCGGCCCGCAGCACGCCGTCCCCCGCAGCCACGTGTACTGCTGGTGCCATGGACTCGAATGCACAGCTTTCCCCCCGTCACGAGCAAGATCGACTGCCATCGTCGTCCGGCATCGCTACCCAGTACCCAGTCCCAAGCGTCGGTCCATCGGTTCGTAGACACGGAAAATCCCACGGCCTCGACGAGCCTTCTCGTCCACGGCGAGCATTCCAGCCATCGAGGCCCTGGCAGCCGCGCATGGACTGCGAACTAGGACGACGCAGACCCGCCCTTCTTCTCACCGTCTGGTCAACCCCCGTCGACCTCGTGGACTTTTGCGACTGGTGCAGCCGTCCATAGCACGTCGAACCAGTGGCGCCATCGACAACATCGTGTTGAACCATCGACGCGATGCACGGACCAGCCACGATCGCATGCGGCATACAAATGGCGCCGCCCCTGCCATGCCTCGCACACGATGGGCGGTCTGTTTGACGTCGGGGTGGCTACCAACTCGCAGTCGGCGACTTGTTTCCGTATGCCCAACGACAAGAATGGTCGGCGCTATTCCTGTTGTGCCCCCGACCAAGTCGGACAAGTCGATCCCCACGTCGTTTGCTCAATCGCGGCGACGTCGTCCACTCGTCATGGGCGTTCATCGACAGCGCTTTGTTGGACGCCGCCATCGTCGGCCGGTGGATTCCGGTCTTGTCGAACGATGCCGGTTCCGCCATCGTGGCCCCTACCGACATACGCCGCGTCCTCGCCAGGTCGTCGTCTTGTGGCTGTGCAAATCGCCATCGGCCACGGCAATTCAAGCGCCCGACATCGCTGGCGCGGACATGGTTGCTCCATCGAAGTCGAGGTCGACTCGACCGTCATGGACGCTGCGGGACGGCATCGCCCTATGTCGCAAGGGTTGCTACCGTGGTCAAGAGGAATCGATCGCATCGGACGCTGGATGCTGTCTGTCTACAAGTACTTTGTGGCCACCTCGGACCAAGCGGAGCGCCCCACACGGCCGTGCCCTGATGTCGGGATGGGCAAAGTGGTCGGTGCGCGCTCCACTGCAGCGGCGTGAACGACGCCGCTTCGGCTGCGTCAACGTCGCTACAGTCCTTGCGTGACGGCATGCTCAACCACAACCGTCGACCGACTTGTTCATGCACGAAACCACAACACTTGGAATCACCAGAGCCATGGTGGCTCCGCGGAGCGAGTGTTTCTGTTCGTGCTTGGAGAATCGCCGCTCGCTCGAACGACATCACGACGAAAAGAATCCGCGCTCCGGCGTTGCACGGACGATCGAGAGATGGGAGGTGCATTCGTCGACCGGCTCGCGCATTGGATGTGGTGTGGCTCTTGCACGCATCCAGCCCACTATCGCCGCCGTAGCGCATTACGTGCGCTCCATGGACATCCAGGCCAGCTATAGCTACACGAGCAACCACGGCCTCCCGCCATGCAGCTCATGCCGACGACACCACCTCTCCGTTCGAGTTGATGGGAGCGCGGCGGTTTTGCGGATTCGGTCAGATCCACCCTCCTTTAAATACGAAAGGAAATGATTACTTGCATATTGTATGGAAATACTAGAATAATGCGATTGGACGTTAAAATGCGGAAAAAAATATCGACGGCAGATAAAATCTGCGGTGCGGAGTGACGTGGGTCCAACATGCTGGTCAAGGCGTGGATCGTAGCCTTCATCGCGTGCATGCTAGGAACAGCGCGCGCAGTGATCTTCCACGTGCGTGCGTCGTCGACCAAGTGCTTGACCACCGATGTGGATGAAGGGTCTCTCGTGATCACGCAGTACCAGGTCTTGGGCAATGTGCAGGGGACGACGGGTGTCCAGTTTTGGCTGGAAGACCCGAAGAAGAAGAAGCTCACGTCCGACTTGAACATCGACTCGACCAAGGACTCGTCCCACCAATACAAGTTCACGGCCGAGAGCTACGGAACGTACACGGTGTGCTTTGCCAACTCGAACGCTGCGATCGCCCAAATCTCGTTTGAATTCAAGCACGGGGTTGAAGCTATCGACTACTCGGACGTGGCCAAGCGCGAGCATCTGATGCCTGTCGAAAAGGAACTGCGCAAGTTGGAAGACACTGTGACCGAGATCCACCGCGAGATGCTGTACGTCCGCGAGCGCGAGGCCTCCATGCGCAACACAAACGAAGCGACCAACTCCCGCGTGACGTACCTCAACGCGTTGACAGTCGTGGTCCTCCTCAGCGTTGGCGTGTGGCAAATTGTCTATCTCAAGGGCTTCTTCAAGTCCAAGAAGCTCATCTAACCGATCTCCCCACCGCGCCGCCGTCGCTGGTCGTGGAATGTTTCGAACTTGAAAAAATCTATTTGTCAATTTGGGCGTATTTATTCGAATTTCCATGGTTTCCACTCCGACCATTGCAACGGTCGTACCATTGCAAGGGTAGCAGGATTTTTCAGGTTTTAATAGGTCGAACAATGTTGGGTTTTAGGTCGAATAATATCGGGCTTTATTCGGAAAATAGGGTTTTAATAGCGTGCGGACTGCCTTCCATGTTAAGAGGAGGGCAGTAAAACCATGATTTTAATACCCACGTATCGGGCTTTAATGGTTAAAACCTTAAACCGGATTTGTCAGGCAAAGCCATTCGGGTTTTTACCACCTCAGGACCATTGTAACCGCCTTTCAGCCACATTTGCCTCCCCTCCCGCGACCAGATCGTCATGCGGCGGGCGTTGGTGGCGAAGATGCATGGATGCGTTCACCCATGCGATGCCGTGTGACGGGAAGGCGGCTTGTGCAATGATTGTGCGTCGTCGACGTGTTTCTGGTGTGATAAGAAACCGTCCGTGAGGCCTGTTGCACGGATCGTTGGGTCGGGACGAGACTCCCACCTCGTGCATTTCCATGTGGGGATGTCCATGCGTTGTGTGCGATGGATTCGAGCACGCTCCAATCTCGCTGGCATGGCTCCGTATACCACACACACATGTGCACCCCCCAACGCGGCTTTGCCAAGTTGCCTTGATTCCTGGAAAACCCCTTTCGCAAGGTCTTGGAGGATGTGCATTGGTCGCGAGGGGCGGAATCGTGACCGTGTCTGCATCCCCCTCGTCCCCCCACCCGCCTGTCGCTTGCGATCTTGACCCGTGCGAACCCCCGACAGCACCGCATGAAAGGTCGTGACGAACATGCGCTGCGCTTCGCGCATGGATACACAGCAAGCACGAGCGTGGCCGATCTCGTGCCGCTGTGTGCCCCCCCCTCTCAAACTATGGCAATCGTCGTTGCGGGGGTTGTCGTGGTGCTTGGGATTCGGGATGCCGTGGCGATCTTGATCCATGGATTTGTTGACGTGGTTTCAGTTGGTTCAGTCCGCGGCCACATTTTTCCCGCGTCAACGCTGCTGGCACCACGCCATTTCGAGCGGCGAGTCCCGCCCGCCATGTGTGAGCGGGTCGACGTCGACGGCATGTCCAACGATTGATGTCCCGTCGTGCCGCCGATCATGAACTGGTTTCAATATGGGATTGCGCGCGCCGAGTCGAACGCACGGCGTCCGTGCTTCCGGTATCAGAACGACCCCGCCGACATCTCGCGACCTGCCCAACAAAGCGAGGGTTTCTCTGGGTTCGCACGGGGCAAGGAAGCGTTCCACGGCGGGGATGCTGGGTGGGAACCCAAGCAACAGCGTGCGCCATTCTTACAACGTCCACGTGGTTGGTCTGGACGGGTCGGTCCCTCAGCTGTCCCCAACAATAGCCACGCCATGCTTCCCATCACGTGAACTGGAAACGTTGGCTCTTCGATCCATCACCATGCACGAGGTCATCGCCCACGCGATCCTCACATCGTACTGACCCGCATGGCACACAGCCTGTGCCAATGGGTACAATCGCCGCCGCGTCAGGTGTTGCGATGTATTTCGACTTTTTTTGGTGGAATTTTTGGAAGTTTGTGTTTGCAATATTTCTTGACGAAAATATGGATCGGGGCAGGCAATTTCTCTTGGACTTTTCGATGAGTTCACGTTTTTGACAAAACGACGAATTTTGAGGCAATGCGACATCGGACGTGGCGAGCGTGAAGCCAACGGCTCTTGTCCTGCGGGCTCTGCTGCGCCACGACCGTCGCAACATGTGGGCGGCGCCACACGATGCCGTCGTCAAAGGTTTGCAAGTGCCACTTCGACCACCTAGCGCATGTTTCAGGCATGGTCCGAATAGTGTCATCAAGATGTGGTCCAATTGCGGCACGCACACGACGAAGGCCCACGTTGGGCAGCTTGTACGGTGCCCACCCACCACCCCACTCCCGAGCTTCAGACACATCAACATGGATTGACACGAGGAGCGCAGTGCCTGACCCGAACGCGCGTCCCGCCCTACGTCGGTCTCTCCTCGAGGGCCGATTGTTCGCATCTCTCTGCCGACAACGCGCGAATTGCGAATGGAACTCTCCTATACAAACGATAGTATAATGAGTACACTCTCACTCTCTGACATTCAGTAACGCGGTGTTTTTTCTAACTCATTCTCCAAATACGACACGAACCCAAGCACCGCGGTAGGACCACCGTCGCGATGACTGGCAAGTTCCCGCTGCCGCCCAACTTTTTTCGGTGTCCGCCGCTGACGGCAGACGAGAGCAACTACATGTGTGGCCTGGCGCGCAAGTCGCTGCTTGATCTCGTGCGTCATTCGCGCATCGAAGGCGGTCCAATCAAGTGGACCCTCGACTCAGACGAGAGCGGGCTCCAGATCTACTCGGGGGAAGACCCGACCGCGCCATCGGAAATGCGATTCCTCTGCTCGACGACTGAAGTCATGGCGACAATCGAAGAAGCGGCGTCGCTCTTTCGTCTCGAAACGACCGAGCTCTTTCGCGAGTACCTCCGCATGTTTGCCAAGGACTTGCTCGACGCGGCGTCGTTGTACACACTCGCAATGCCAACGGAACAACATCCTCGCCATTACATTGGGGTGAAATGGACTTGCCTCGAGTCCCCCACGAGCTTGATCAAAAACCGCGACTGGTGCTATCTGGAGGTACAACCCGTTCGTCGACCCACCGATTCGAGCGCTAAACTCTCATGTGCGTAGTGCCAAGACGACTTTGAAATCAACGGACGTCGGGGGTGGGCGCGATCTCTAAACTCGATCAAGCTCCCTTGCTGCCCCGATCTCCAAAACTCGCTCGGCATCGTCCGCGCCTCGTTCTACCGCACTGGTTACGTCTTCCTCGAGACGGACCGCCCGGGATACCTCCAGGTGCTTCATGCAATCCAAGTGGATTTCAAGGGAAACGTTCCATCGTGGGTCGTCAAGATCGGGATGAAAAAGCGCGCGCGATCGATTGGCGAGATCGACCAGTACCTCCGCGAGAAGCGGCTGAGCGGGGAAAAATTCCTCGTCGACCACGAGCTCGTGCCCAAGGTCGCCCGGTCCAAGTGCTTTCTCTGCCACAAAAAGTACGGCGCGTTTACGAAGAAGCACAATTGCCGGCGCTGTGGCGAGGTGGGGACATCTCGAACGCTCGCGGCGGGTCGTGAGGGTCGTTTTCGAGTAGGTCGTGTGCAGCTCGTGCAGCAAGTTCTGGAACGTCGAGATGAACAGCCATCGCGTGCACGTCCGTGTGTGTTCGGCGTGCTCGATCGGCGCGTTTAACAAAGGTCTTCCGTCAGTGCAAGCGTTTCCGGACAACGTGAGCATGACAAGCATCGACGCAAGCACCAAAGCTGTCCCGTTCGACCGCAAGTCGGCGCTGGCTCCGACGACGCCGCGGCAAGGCCAGGCGAAGCGCGAGATGCTCGAGAAACAACGTACGAAAGCGAGGGACGACATTGCCGTCCAAGCGCACTCAAAGGACACGTCGTCGACGAAACCCCTCCAACAGCCTCGACCTGCGGCGGCCGCCGTGCAAGGCTCGTCGACGCCGCCAGTTGCTCCTGTCGCGTACGACGCCGCGCAAGTTCACCAGCATGGACGAAGCTACCCTCGCTACGACGACGACCGGCGCGGTCAGCACTACGACGCGACCGACGATCCAGACAAGTCCGAGAGTTTCCACGACTACGCTCCGTTGAATGCAAGGAACCTCGAAATATTCTCGCAGCAACGTGGCAGGCCGCCGCCCCAGCTCCACGATCGATTCGACATGCCGCCGCCGCAACATCCATCTTATGCGAGCGACGATCGGTATTACGACCACGACCGCCATCCGTCGCGGCAAGCCGACGAAGATCCGTACTATCGCCCCCGCCACGGCTACGATTACCCAACCGAGGCGTCGGCGCTGGGCGCCGATGAACACTGCTACTCTGGTCAACCACCACGCGACCGTCGCTACGACTCGTCCTACTACCGCGACCAGCCTCTCGAGTACAATGCGTACCGCGACGATCGATATGCACCTTATGGCCAGCAGCAGCAGCAGCATTGGCGATATGACGACGTGCCTGACCACCGAGAATACTACGAGGAAGATCGGTATTACAACGACCGTCGAGGCGCCCCCGACGCATACCAAGCGTACAGTCGGTACAATGATCCGCGTGCTCCTCCACCTCGCTACCATGATCGGTACGACGACTATCGATACGAGGACGGGACTGTCGCCGACGAAGACATGTTCACGGGCTCGTCCACGCGGGATTATCCGAGCGAGAATGGATATCTACCACGGGGAGAAGGCAGGTATCCACCGCAGGACGAGGACGATTCGTATCTCCGACGGGACGAAGACTCGGTGGGCGAAGGTCGGCGACGTGCTGACGACGCACGACCTCCGCATGTCAGCGACACGGACGACCAAGCGCCTCGTCCACCCAACGCAAAGGACGCCGACTTGGCTGCCCTGTTCAAGCAAATGGAAGCGTTGGGGTTGAAGGTTGCCGACGGCGAGTCGAGCCAGCAACAGTTGCTCGCGTTGTACAAGCACCTCCAACAAATGAACTTGGAATCGACTCTCGCCAGCCCCGAAGCGGCATGATCGACATCGTCCACCTGTAATCAAACCATGATGTGCCTGCATGTGTCCACAGTCGCGTCGTCCATACGAGCGCCAGCCGTCCGTTGGACGTGACGTTTGCCGTGAGTCGCGCCGGAGAGAGCGCGTCGCTTCCAAGCTGTCGTGGAATCGAAGCGGCTCTGTCGTCCCGTCGTTATCGTGAAACGTTAAAACCACTCACAAACGCAAACGTATCTAAAAAACGCATTCAAATTGTCCATAGACAGCGGCGATTTTGACACGTTTTAGTCTAAAACGCATGGTGGACAACTCGCATTAACGCAACGTTAAAAAGATCTCGTTCCACATGGGACTGGATACCCATGGATGTTGTACTCGAAGTTCGAAGAACCCGCGCTTCAAGCACGTTGCTGCTACTGTGCCATGAGATTTGGACGGCGAGGACGCCCACAGGCCCATAATGAATGAGCAAGTACAGTGGCCATATCGAGAGACTCGTTGACATGTATGGATGGCCATGTACCCCCTCATCGCACATGGTGCAGAAAACGCTCGTTCGGAGATCAGGTTGATGTGTTGTTCATTACGTTCATGGACAGGTATTGGCGGGATTTTGGACGGACTACCGAGTATTTAATGGATTTTCCCGGTATTTCCCCGGACAAATGCGGATGTATTCCCCCTCGATGGGTTCGTGACCCAATCAAGTCGAAATTCGAAGTACAAGATGTCAACCCCGCTCTTCCAAGCCATTGCGGCATTTTGGGCGGTGGCGCGGCGACCAGATGAGCAAGTTTCCCGTGCCAGAGAATTTCTTCTACTGCCCACCGCTGAATGAAGAAGATCGAGCAAAATTCATCGCGCAGGGAGAAAGCTCCCTCATTGACCTCGTGCGCAGTTCCAAGTTGCAGGACGGTATGATCAAGTGGACGATGGACTCGGACGAGAACGGGATTCAAATCTTCTTTGGAGAGGACCCGCAAGGGTCGTCCGATATCACACTTCTTGCGGGGGTGACAGAAGTGTATGCAAATTTCGACGAGATCGCGGCGCTCTTTCGCCAAGAAACCAAGGAAGCGTACGCCGACTACACGAAGAAGTTTGCCAAGGATTTGATCGACTCGTCGCACTTGTACACGATTTCCACGGCGACGCCGGAACGGCCGCGCCATTACATCGGCATTCGGTGGATTGTCCTTGGCAGTCCTTACCCTCTCGTGGCGAACCGCGACTGGTGCTACCTCGAGGTACGTTCTTGACATCTTTTTCTCGTTCGGGCACGACACTCACCCGCAGGTAGTGTCAAGACGACTTTGAAATGAACGGAAGGCGAGGGTGGGGTCGGTCGATGACGTCCATCAACCTTCCGTGCTGTCCAGACTTCCAGGGTCACTTGGGCACAATTCGAGCAACGTTTGTCCGGTCGGGTTTCATCGTGTTCGAGTCCCAGCGACCGGGGTACCTCCAGGTGATTCACATGTTGCAAACCGATTTCAAAGGCAACGTCCCCAAGTGGGTCGTCAAGATTGGGATGAAGAAGCGCGCGCGCACGATCGGCGACTTTGACAAGTACTTGCGCGAGAAGCGACTGAGCGCGCAGCCGTTCTTGCGCGAGCACGAGTTGGTGCCCAAGGCGGCGCGGTCCAAGTGCTTTTTGTGTCAAGCCAAATTTGGCGCGTTCTCGACCAAGGTTCGGTGTCGCAAGTGCGGTGAAGTCGTGTGCGGCAAGTGCAATCGGTACTGGGAAGTCAAGACGACCAAGGGCCGCAAGATGATTCGAGTGTGCTCGGCGTGCTCGATCTCGGGCGGAAACTTGCACGACCGGAGGGACGGGACTGCGAGCGCCGCGACTTCGCGACAGACGGCGTCGGATGGCACGGGTATGTACTAACGAATGCCAACGGACTCGACCGTGACCGCTTCCATGCAGACGATCGATCTGAATCGAGCCAGCATGAATCCACGCAGCATGACGAAACAATCTCGCTGTCCGGCAGCCAAGGGCCCGACCCACACTACTATCCGTCCCATCAGGTGGACCGCCGGCAACCGCACCGAAGCGGTGGATACCACGGCAACAATGGACACAACCAAGGCCGGCCGATGCCGTCGCCATGGCACGTCCAACGCGGCAACAAATATCCTTCGCAACGCGGCAGCTTGCAGCGCGACGACCTCGATGGAGACTATACGTGCCACGAGCCACGGCCGTCCTCGCCACAGCCGCCGTTCCCATCCAACATCGCGCCCCTTCGTCTGCCCAAAGACGGCGACAAGTCGAACGGTTCGGGAAATCAGCCGCTCTCCAACAACAACAACGAGCCGTCGATGCAGCGAGTGGACTCGCAAGCGAGCTACGGCAGCGTCCCGCCGCCGCCCACCACAACCAACGCGCGCGACACGTACATCATGGAAGCATCGGACGACGATGCCCAGTTCGACTCGTTTGTGGATGCACGTGGGCCGCCTCCCCACGTGTTGCAGCAGCGCAGCCATGGCACGGATGCCCGCCAGCATGGCGAAAGATCCGCCGCGCACTATCCCCGCAACAGCCGTGGCGGCGACGATGACGATGACGACCACCATTACTTTACGCGTGAAAGCGAGGACGATAACGACGCGATGAGCGCGTACTCGGAGTATTCGCATGCCGGCCCTCCCCACGTGGTATACCCGCCGCGGAACCCGCCGCCGCCTCTGGCGCCGCATCGATCGCCAAAGCCCAGAGACATTCAAGAAATTGACCCGTATGCAGCCAAACCGCTCCACGGTCCGATGCCGCAGATACGACGCGGTGGGCCGCCTCCTGGTCGACCCAGCGGTCCGTGGCCGCCTGCGCACATGACCAACCCACCACGATATGGACAGAGCGGGTACCCGATGCACCCACATGCGGCATGGCAAGCGCCACCCCTTCGTCGCGGCGGGTACGACGAGCCCGTAGGAACCCCGCGCGACAATGGGACCACGTCGCAGCAGCGCGAAGGCTTTCTCGACGGAGTGAGTGCCGCCGCCGACGACTTGCCACCCCGCCGTGGTCGGTACCCTGCCCACGAGCCCGTTCCAAACGAGTACGGCGCACCGCCGCCTCCCCGTGGCGCCGACTCCCGACGAAACAATTTCCCGTACGCGCGGGATGTCTACGATCCCCCACGGGCTCGAGGCTTTCGCGACTACCCCGTCGATCTCCGCGACGCCGTCATGGCCGATCCTCGACCGTATGAAAACGTCCCGATGCACCAAAGGCGGGACTTTCCATTTGGAAGGGACGGCCCAGTGGACGACGCCGCCGACGGGGAATACCCCCGCGCAGGTCCGTTCGACCCTCGGTATGCCCAGCGAGACCCACGTCAGTACCCGCGGGAGTATGCTCGGGACCCGCGCGAGTACCCCCGGGACCTTCGCGAGTACGGTCGAGTGTTTCGAGAGTACCCCACCGACCCCAGTGGATACAGTCGGGACCCGCGCGATTACGCGCCATCGCGAGATGTCTACCCTGACCACGACCGTCGCTACAACCCGCGCCGATACCAAGACTCGCCGCGGCAGGTCGAGCAGGTCGTCCCCCCCACCGTCCACGACCCGCCGCCGTCCGTGCACAATTCGGCCGATTCGGCCAAGGACGACTCGTCCAGCCTCAAGTCGGAATCGATTCAGGACGAAGTGCTGCGCGCGATGAAGGCGCTCAACGGCGACGAAACCCCGGATCCCCAGCAGTTGCTCGTGTTGTACAAGCAGCTCCAGCAACTGAATTTGGACGGATCGGCGGCGGCCACGGCGCCGTCGTCGGCATCGTAACCCGTGGGTGTGTCGACGGTTTCCGTGCATTTTTTTTGGGCAATGGCGTTGTGACAATACAAATTCGAGTATATTTTTTTTCGCAGCGCGCCAAAACACGGGCATATATCCTTCGACCCGAAGATTCTTCTTTCCAACGGCGGCGTGCGCAGCATGCAGAATCACGCGACGGATCTAAAGGCACCGCTGTACGACCCTCCGCATGGAGAGAATGCGGCATCGTCGTTCCATACATCAGCACCACACCCGGGCTCGACACACGCCCCCTACAACCCCGTCGGGTGGTGGCACAGGTTTGCAATGGACCTGTCGCGGATGTGATGCAACCTCACACCATGTCGACGTAGCGTTATGGGGTGGGATACCCACACGCTCTTGCGCTATATGCGGTACATCAACGTTATCTTGGCGCTATTCCAAGCCCTGACGGGATTCTTCGGACTCTTTGACCTCGCCATGCTCAACATTACGAGTTTCCTCATTGCTGTCTACGTCATGTATGCGAACTCGACACTTCATCACGGTGGATCACGTTGCTCGATAGAATCTTCGCGCTGCTCTTGCTCGCGTTTGAATGCCGCTTCACGTCCATGGAGCCGACCATTCGACAACTCTTTGGGTTTCTCTTCACCTACCGCGGCCGCACCGCGTTCATCTTCTTGTAAGAGATCGTGTCACGCCTTTCACGTTCGCTAACCATCACGACAGCGTTGGGTTCATGAACTTTGGCATGCGAGATGCGATGGCCAAGCTTGCAGGAGTGCTCATGTGCACGAACGCGCTCTTAAACTTGTCCGTGATGACTTGCCACCCGTCGTTCCGCAGCGGCGCGCTGCGTGCCGACATGGACCCCACCACAGGATACACTGCGGGCGAAGACGTACGAGCAGACACGATGTCGATGCATATCGTGATGCGAACGCTAGGAAACTGCCCAAATGCTCAAGGCGAACTCGCATCTGGCCGCCCAAGCGGGCACATACGCATTCTCGCATCTGTCCCCTGAGGTCGCCACGCAGGTGCTGCGCCCGCCGACCTCCCATGATCACAGGCATCACGTCTTTCCGTTAGATCGTTCGCCAGGTCGTCGTCACATCTCCCCAAGGCGGCGGAAGCTACGTTCCTCCGACTCCCACTTCGTAACATGGCGTTTTCGGGCTTTCTTCATCCCATTGGCTATAATTCGTAATATATAACTCTATTTCAACCAATCCTATCGCGCATTCCCTAGTGAGGAGGGACCCTACATTTCGTGTGATACTTGTACGGAGGTGTTGCTTCTGCGCTGCGTCGCCATCGAAACGGTGACTGCATGGCGGTATCAACGACAGCGTTTGTGTGGCACTGAGTGTGGTTGCACGATCGATGGTACGGCTGCCCGCATCGAAAGCTAGTGTTGGAGAGATGTCAACCCTCCCGTCGGCGATGCGCCGATTATCCGGAAACGTGCGACCAGAATGCGTTGACTGAAAGCAAGGTATCCGAAGATATCCGGATAATTGACCAGTTCCAAAGAAGAAGGCCGCATCGACCGGCAACGTCGCGATGGACGAAGGTAGGTAGGACCTGTGGAGGTGCTATCCGTGACTGAGGATGCTCCGTGTATGCATGGCACGACGTAGTTCTACCGCCAAGGCGAGCAAAAGCCAAGTCATCCCCTGCGTATCCACAGCAATCTTCATCCGTGCGCACACCGCAAGGGAACGGACCAAATCTGTTGCACTTGGACACAGTTCGTCGGTACTTGCTCAAGTTAACCCCAATCGAAGGAAAAGGTTTGTTGCCGACAGCGCGGAATCCTTTCTGCACGCTCGTGCTTCTGGACAAAGACTTGAAGGAACTCAAGGGCGAAAAGCGTCGCACTCCGATCGGGAAAGTCCATCCGTCGTCACCGTCCAGCCCAATGTGGAGTCCCTTGAAGGCGGCCGTTTTACGAAGTTTAGAAAGCGCGAATGAAAGCAACATGCCACTTGGAATTGGTGTCGCAGCTGCCGCGGAAGAGTACACGTTCGGGACAACAGTGAACCTCCGAAAGGCCAAGTACGTGCTGGTCAAGTGCAAGGACAAGGGGCAAGTGCAGACGGAGGATTTGGGGCGCCTGCTCTTGGCGTTGGACGACCTGGACACGAGCGGGATGGAGCTTACGTCGTGGTACGTCGTTGTCTTGTTTGAACAGCCATCGTCGATGGAATCATGAGTGCCTTGATCCGCCTTGTCTTGATGACCTCTTGCCAACGATATGCTCTCACATACCGTCGTGTGCGTTTACCAATGCGTAGGTACGACTTGCAATTGCACACAGGGATGAAACGCGTACAGGGGAAACTTCGCCTGTCGTGCCGAATCATCCGCGAGCCGTCACGGAAGCAACTGTGGCTGGCAGCCGAGCAAATGCGATGTGAAATCAAAATCAAGGACCATTACTTGTACCTCAAGTGCCATCCGCAGAGCTTCTCGGGTCGACATGCAACCGAGTGGATGTTGCGCCACGGACTGAATCGACCGATGAAAGGCGGGATCACGTGTAGCACGGAAGAGGAAGCGCTGCTCATCGGTATGTACGGCGGATCGCGTTGCCCGGGACGGCGACACCCGAGCCTGATTTGAGATTGCTTCTGTTGCAGGACAATGCTGGCTCCGCGCCGGGATCTTGACGGCGATATCAAGCTTTGGCGGGACAAGCGGCGGGAGCTCGTCGTTTTTTCAAAACACGTCGTGGAAGTATTATCGCTTTGGAGTGGACCATTTGGACCCGTTCATTCGAAGGGACAAACAACGCGAGTGCCAGTGTATCCTGGTACGACGAGCGCCTCGACTTCTTGCGTTAGCTCTGCTCCTTGACGCATCCTGGGCGTCCCGCAAGAGATTATCTTGTTCGCACTGTGTCTTCATCCTGTCTGGCTTGATGGCATTATTATCCCATCATGACCCTGACGTTGTTGCAGGAAATGGAAGAGCTTGTCCATGATGTCGAATATGAAGACGAAGACGACATGGCGGCGTCGGGGGCATCCTCTCCACTGCCGTCAAGTGTGTCGGCAACCATGCTGCACTCGAGCACGTTGTCGTCTCGAGGGATGCAGCCGCCTCCTGCACCGTCGTCTGTGTCGGTGGCGTCTGTCACTCGATCGGCGGCGTCAACTTCGTCCAGCCATGAGGTATCTGCGGGCCAAGGGCCGTCGTTCGTTCGTTCAGACCCGACATCGCGCGCGTCACTGTCCCAGAAGAAAGCGCCACCGCCCATTACAATCGACGACTTTGAATTGCTTCGCGTGCTGGGCACCGGTTCGTTTGGCCGCGTAGTGTCGGCGCGCCATCGGGCGTCCAACCAAGTGTTTGCGATCAAGATTGTGCACAAATTTGGCATGGACGACGCGTCGAAAGCCACCGCCAAGCGCGAACGCGATGTCCTCATGGAAGCGACCCATCCGTTTGTCGCGTCCTTGCACTTTGCCTTTCAAAATGAAGACAAGCTGTACATGGGGATGGAGTACCTGAGCGGCGGGGACCTTCGCTACCACATCATGGCCCATCACCACCAGCACGAGCATGCACACCACATTGCTGGCATCAGCGGCCTAAACACCCTCTCGCCGTCTCGGATCAAGTTGTATGCCGCGGAATTGGTTGCCGCGTTGGCCCATCTCCACTCCCTGCACATCATTTACCGCGATTTGAAACCCGAGAATGTCCTGGTCGCCCGCGACGGCCACATCAAACTTGTCGACTTTGGTCTGAGCAAAGTGACGTGCTCCGCGAGCAAGACGCTGGCGGGGTCGCCCGAGTACATTGCCCCCGAAGTCCTTGTCCATTCGAAAAAGGCAACGTCGGCAAGTGGCGCCAGCGGCGACGGATACACGGACGCGTGTGACTGGTGGAGCCTCGGCGTCCTCGTATACGAGCTGTATGTGGGCCGCACGCCATTCCACGACGCAAACCAAGCGATCATGTACCGCAACATCGCGGAAGGACCAGTGTACATTCCCACCGAGTGGGGCCCCGACGTTGCGTCGCTGCTGCGCGGTCTCATCGAGCGCGACGTGTCCAAACGCCTCGGCGGCAGCACGAACGAAACCCCCGTCCCGTTTGACATTATGAATCACCCGTACTTTGGCAGTATCAACTGGGACATTCTCCAAGCCAAAGGCGGCCCCGCGCCCGAGTGGGTGCCTGACCCAGACGAAGTGTACGTAGACGACGAGTTTCGCAGCGTCATCCCTGTAGATACCCCCGAATGGCGTATGCTGGATGAAGTGGACCGGGCAAGGGAGCACATTGACGGGTTTACGTTTCGACCCACGGAAGTGTTCAAGGTCCAGCCGTAGGGACATCACGTGCAGTGAGCAAGTGGTTAACATGTCGACTTGGATCTCCCAACAGTGTTCACAAACGTCCGTGGGGACTGATCTGTCCTGGTGGTGGTGCGGCCATGTCGACGGTGTTGTGGCAAGAGAAGTACTGCACTGGGCTCGCTCCCTCGCGCCTCCTCCCCCCAAGTGTTTCAAGTCGACGACGCCAGGGATGACGTCCCGACGTTGCTGTGAGAGCTCAAGCATGCATCGACAAGTCAACATGGACGGCAATGGTATTTCGATTCAAAACACGACGGCTCTGCCATGAACTTTGGAGCGACGGGGAGACAGTTAACATGCGGGTTTGGTGGTCGTAGGGGGCGCGGCGGTGGTCGGGACCGCGCCGCCATTGAACAGGACGGCCGCCGACGAGTACGCGGTCAACCCAGCGTACACTTCCTTTCCGACTTGTCGGATTGTCGAGACAGGCACAACAAAGTCGACGCCGTCGACTTCGATCGTGAGGCCGGGTTTGGTGTAGTTGCGGAACGTGTAGTCGCGAAAGTTGCCGTACGTCAAGTAGAGGCGCTGCGCCAGGTCGTAGCTGCCACCGACGTCGGCAATCGCAGTCTGCACCGCCTTGCCGAGGACGTAGTACTTGGACAAGTAGGGCTCGACGGGGTTGACGACGGTGTCGCCAAACGGGTACAGGACCGAGGCAGCGTTCGAGTGGATGTCGACGCCACCGTCGATCGTGGCCACATTCGCCTGGAGCCACGTGTGGATGCCGGCCGTCTCGGGTTCGCTCAGGATAAACTTGCCAGGGTACGCGTCCGAGCCAGGCGGCTGGTGGTCGGCATTCCAGTACGGCGACGGCCAGTTGCGGTTCAAGTCGACGCCGTTCGCGCTGACGCGGATGTACCGGTTGGATGTAGTCCATGTCTTGATGTAGCTGTCGATGTTGACGACAGGAACGACGATGAGGTTGTAGTTGTCGACCGGGTTGGGCTTGTTGTTGGTCAAGGCGTCGAGGGTCGCGGCCAGCGCGTAGACAGCGCCGGCCGTCGATGCCCACTCCCGTGCGTGCTGGGCCGCTTGGACGTAAATGGCCTTGGCGTTCTTGCCGTTGGCGACCTTGTAGCCACGGATGACGCGGCCTTCGAACGTCGTCGACACGTCGTGGCGGGTGACGACCGTCGGGTGCTTTGTTTGGAGCGTATCGAGGAACTCGACGATTTGGTCGTGCGTGCGGAAGCAGTCAAAGAAACCGTTGGTGACGTACGAACCAGCGACCAGCGTATCGAGGTACCCCGCGGTTTGGTTGTGGCACGCGCGGTTGTCGTCGGCGTCGCCTTGGGGGGACGCGGCAGCAGCAAACGCGACCAGTCCAGCCGCCAACTTCATCGCGAAACCAAAAGTGCCACCGACCGGCGTCCCGACAGTGTTAGGGTGCATAAGCCACTTCAACCATCCCCGATCACGTGGAGCAGCATTCGAGTGTAATCGCCGTTTTCAAGACGACGGCCCCCTCTCGTGCACCTGTCCCCCCATCCAGCCTTACAAATCGCAACCTGGTCCGTCAAAGCATGTGCTTTTTGCGTCGCGCTGGAAGAGCGCGGCACCGGATCACGGAAATTCCCCCAGCTCTCGCTCTCGCTGCTTGCAACATGGCATGCATTGCAAAGCTACGAACCGCCCTCGATAAGTCGCCGTGGCGACTTCCGCCTCAGGGACAGCGGTGGCCGGAACAAGTTGCCGTCAACATGGACGGGTGTCGTGTAGCGCGGAGAAATTTGCGGTTGTCATGGCTTCCGCCTCCACCCCATCGCGGCGTCGTCATGAGAGAGGCGCCATGGGAGTACCACACCCAGCCGAAAGAATTGCCTTAATCAATACTACCAGCAGCTAGACCGAGGGGGTAGAAAGAAATTCCAATGCGTGTGGACGTCCCACGTCCTCCTTTCAAGGAGCTGGCATTTCATTGTGACCCAACGGCATTGCCTTGCATATGAAGGGCCCGTCGCTGCTGCGCTTGCTTCGCAGCAGTTCCATCCACGCCTTGGAATAGAATCGACTCCAACACGTTGTACTGATTCAAGGAAATGGTGCCTGGTTCGCATTACACATCCTCGGCGCGTGGTACGAAACAACTGGGGGGGGGCGTATGGCGGCGGCAGTCCTGGTTGCCGTCACTCCCCACATGAGGGCTGTGCCGGGGGCCCTCAGGGGGCCAGGGACACCTCTTCGTCCGGAGGGCCCCATTGGCACACTAACCGTGCGGTGCTGATATATTGGTGCAGAGGAATCGCTCTTCAGCAGGCGCGGTTTGCATTGTACATGACCACAACATTGGTCCGTCGCCTCGCTGCAATCTCGGCGGCTTCGCGGGGAAACTGGGTACGCTAGTTCGCCACCTTGAAGTCCCTTTTGCACGGGTGCCGCCACTGGATGGACACGGGCGGCACCCATGTCATCCATTACGACAGCAACCAAGCGAAACAAATCGCCTTCTGTCGCTCCAACATTTGCCGCAGTTGGGCGCCGACTCGACGACCGTCCCCGGAGTTCCCGATAGTGTATTTCTCAAGATCGTCCAACGAGTGGAAATATTTCTCCCGATCGTCCAAGGTGAATGCTCGCGAGGTATTTTTATTCCAAATCGTCTATCGCGGCATAATTGGCTAATAGTCTCATGTGCTTAAAAGCGTCCCAGGGCAGGCTGTGCTTCAAATTGGGACGATCTTGATCGTCGAAATTAAACTTAGAAATACGATGTATATCGTCAAATTGAACGCAAAAAGTAAACGATAGTTCGACAGATGGCCGATTTTCGTGGCTATTCAAGCGAAATCAAAAATCCCTATTCAGAGAACGACTAATTTTCATAAAAAGATTTCAGCTATTCACAAATTCAGATAATTCAATACTACTGTACTATAGTAAAAAT